TACAGTGTTGACTACAGGGTGTACACAAAATGGTTATATTACTTATGTTATTATAAGTGGACAATATGTCTTAGTAATGATGGTGTGAGTGGTGTGGTGGTAGGTTATAAGGACCACCCAGTTATGATGCCGTTCCTTCAAACCTTCTTATACGAAACTTAATTAACACGCCTTATAAATATACTTGTTAGAAGTTATTTATACGCGTAAAATAGAAGTTATTGAAATGATAATATCGTCATATAAAGATGGTTTGAATCGTAGCCAATCCGATTTCGACGCGATTGCCTATATGGTCTTCGACAAACAAGCGATTGTTCCTGCTCTCTCTCGAGACAGGGAACTCTGGGATTTGTAGTCTTTCTAGTTGCGTATTTTTCATAGTCTTATATTTCAACAGTTTTACGACAAACTGTGACTTTTTTGACATGGAAATTATTTTTTAAGATTGACAAACATCATATGTGTAATTCATGGCACAATTCAAACGGGATCGAAAGATAAGTTTTCTCTCTCCATTGACTTCAATACATAATTTTTCCGAAATAAGGTCCCATGGACCGGAAGTAGATGGGCGTGACTTCGCCTCTCTATATGCTGATGTTTTGGGGCGTGTTTACCGCAGTTTAATAAACACCGCTTCCTGCTTGTTTTGCTGCCATTTATGTGCAATGCAAACAATTTCCCAAAAGAATGCAAGGCTGGGGAGATATGTTCAAAAGCCTACATTTCTCTTAAACATTATTAAAAGAGAAAATAAATATAAAGTTATTTAAACTGGATCAACGTAGGCTGTACATCATGGGACCGCATGTAATGGTAAAGTAATATAAGTGGCTAATTTATTTATTTTCCTTAATAAGGAAATGAACAGGAATGTATTTTTTCATTACATGAGCAAAGATATGTGACATTAACACCCGTACAAACGGAGAATCAAGATGGACAATCAAGATCCCAAGCTTTACAGCGATTGATGAAGGGGTTATTTTAGCATTAGCAGAGAATCGCAAAAGCTCAGAGAGCTGGTCTCTCAAAAAGCAGATTTAAGTGGAACAGGAGGACATGAGAGAATTAGTGAGGATATAACCAGACAGCTTTATGTAGTAACTGGCACACAGTGCTGTGTGTTAGGATAAAGTCAGGCAGTCTTCATTGAGCGTATATTTGCCGTGCAACATTGTATGTACATAAAGGCCTTTTGTGTCCTCTTTCTACTCTAAAAATAAACCTAGGCCTAAATGCAGTTGACTCTAAAAAGCCTTAAGCGTCAGAGCAAGAATCGTCTGGCTTCTGTTGCTCTAGCAACTGGTAGGAAATGAACTCTTGAAGAGGTTGCTCAATCATCTTATTCAGCACACAAAGAAAGGTTATCACACATCTGCAACAGTCCAACCACAAACACACCTGTATGAAACAAACCTCACCCGGAGGGAAGTTCAACAGCAGTTCTTTATAGTGTTTATAAATAGCTGTGGGGAATTAATTCATATAGAGGTAGAAACGACCGGCAAAGCTTACTTCAGCATGCAAAGTTGATCTTTACAAGGTCATTTCAAAACAATATAGTGAGCGTTAAAGGCAGCAGCACCACAAACAGCAGGACATATTTTCTGGCTATAGTCAAATACATAACTGTAATTAAAAAAGTTGTTTGAATCAAAGTAAGGAATCGACTGACAACTAGCCAAGACCAATGCTGCCTTCACAGGCTCTTTCAAATGTGCCGTGTTCTTTAGCTTTATGTCCTAAAGTGGAAACATTGTCGTTGGTACATAGAAGATGTATTGTAGTTATATTGTTCAAAGAATTTAAACCCAGGCTGCAACTAACTAACACAATCGAAAAATCTGCTGATTATTTCCATGATTAGCCGTTCTATAGTGTCAGTAAATATTGAAAAATGTCCATCCCTGTTGTTCAACATCCAAGAATATGTCTTGCTTTGTCAGTCAAGATAATGAAAACGGCATTTTCTGCCATCTTTGCATGAAAAATGTATTGATTAGCTGATTATCAAAAGAAATGGCCATCATTTTTCTGTTGTTTATCTCACTGTTGCAGTTTTTGTTTGAGTTGTTGCACCGACTTGGAGTTACGTGCATAAATGCCCCATAACGCAATGAAAAGATTTGCATCTGTTCCAAAGTGATATGAATGATTATTTCCTTAGCAAATGCAACATCCTTTTACAAAGTTACATGAACATCTGGCCAGTAGTTTGTTTTAGCAATCCTCCTGTCAAACAGACTAACTGAGCTGAAAAGAACACCCTCCTTGGCATTGCCTATAACAATGACAATATGAATAGCAGCCAAACACCTGACCTGGTGCTGTAGTCATTGTGCTTCTGGAAGTTGGTGTACTTGAAGCAAATCAAAAAAGAACCATCGATCTACTGAAGCAGCTGTTGGTGATGAACAACGAGACCCTGCGGGTGGGAGACGTTTGCTGTCGATTAGAGACACATTCACCACCTGCTCTGTAAGAGGAGTAAAGACTCAGGGATATTACTACAACTAAGAAAAATACTACTACAGACCTCCCTGTTTTTTTCTTTCTTTGTTCATAAGTGGGGTTGCTATGGCCCTTCTTCTCAGTGCCATGTTTCTTTTCTTCTGTCCTTGGATGGCTACCGGCTGTGGTGGTAGCAGTGATTAGAGAGAGGCTGAATGCACAATGCAGCTCTGCCTGTTGAAATGACCACTGAGCAGATTCAGTGCTGCAGCAAATACAGCATGAGGAAATAAAATACATTGGAGATATACTAAATGACATTACAGTCTCAATGATAAGCACACTGTGGAAGAATCCAGAACAAAAGCAATGGCTGTGCGTCGTCATTCATTCATGTCTTTCTTTTTGCTCTCAGGTGTGAAGTGGAGGGCCTACCAAACACAGACCAAGACTGGTAACACTTGTTTCTCTCTGTCGTGTGTGTGTGTGTGTGTGTGTGTGTGTGTGTGTGTGTGTGTGTGTGTGTGGTAGTCCCTCACACACATACACACATACAGTACATAGGCACACACAAAGGTCTCCAAGCAATAATTCCACATGAATCCAGACTAGTAAGTATTAACTACTGATCCTTCTGATGTGTATGTGTGTGTGTGTGTGTGTGTGTGTGTGTGTGTGTGTGTGTGTGTGTGTGTGTGTGTGTGTGTGTGTGTGTGTGTGTGTGTGTGTATATGGCTAATTACATGCAGATATGTACTATGTGTACCAATGAAGCACTTAGTACCACTACATTAAAGGAATAATTCAGATGTATGTATGAAGTAGTCTGGAGTAGATACTAGATAGCAGTCAGTAGTTTGGAGAAACAGAAAGGAGTACAGAAGCTAAGCAATGTACTGCTGAAGATTGGGGCCGCAGCAAAACATCATATAGCCAGCTAAAAAAAGGCAATATGATGTAGGTGTACTCACTTACATCATATCGACACTCAAAGTATTTACCTCTTGCCCTTGCCATTATCTATGCTCTCTTATTTCTATAATGTTTTGAAAATATTTTCTCCGATTTTAAAGAATGTAAATGCTCAGATACATTTTAACATGCATACATTGCATTATAATTATAACCATTTAACCTGTAGTTTAACTAGATTGCAATTTATCTAATTTTCCAAAAAATCATAATTGCAAATTCAATCAGACGACAACCTGTGGGTCCTGGGGACTTATATTGAAAACCAATCAACATCACTGGTTTTCGGAATAAACAAATTTGCACAATAACACAAACAAACTGACCAATAGAGGCATCATTAGACCAGCATCTTCTGTCTTCTGCAAGGAAACATGATTGTTTTTGTAAAAGGATACTGGTCGGATGTCTTTAATGATAGTATTGATAACAGCTTTAGTTCTCCGTCGGAATGGGCTGTCTGATGGCGAGGTAACAGAGTTATGATATTCAAAATAGCATACATTCAGACTGACATTGATTTTTTAGGTGGCTATCATACATTTGCCCCCACCAGCTGTAGTGAACTGCTTAGCTTCCATGCCGGTACTCCTGTGTGTGTCTCCAAACTGGGCGGAACAATCTCCTGTAGTATACAGCGACCATGGATTAGTCATTAAACCCCACTTTAAAACATCCAAACTATCCTTTTAAAGCAGTTATACGAAGATATAGATCCCGGTCCACTGTACTGTGTGGAAACAAAGCACAGCATTCACTAAGATAGTAGCAGTGATGAAGACGCACAATACTCGTGTTCTGAGCTAACAAATGCTATCAATGTCTCCATATATCCATGTTTGAGACACTGTTTTTAGTTAGTGTTCACCGATTGCTGTAATTACATTTGACTTGACTTGATTACAGGGCTCTTCCTGTTGGCCTTTTTTCAAAAATGAATCAGTGGGTAGAGCAGTGTTCTCCTGAATAAGCATCACATACTGAAAGATTCAACCCAGTGATGTCATTGCACAAGCTAAGAGCTGATTGGTTGAAATGAGCAGCACTTCCAAATTGCATTTTATAGTATATGGTCAGATGTTATTTAAATGAGGTGTTCATTTGTTTATTCAAAAGACTGAAACCCTCGTCCTCTGTGTTGCAGGCTGCATGTATCACCCCGCAGAGCTGTACTCTGGCCGCAACACATGGGACTCCTATCCAGCTGGAGGACCTAACAGAGGACAATGGGCTCCGGTAAACAGTCGCCCCTGGAGCCACACAGAAAGGTCAGCAGCATTGTTCGCAACACTCACACACTCTGCCCTGTCCTGGCATGACATGTGTCTTGAGTCATATGATCAAAAGTGGACATCTCTCAAGTTCGTCAGTACACTTCTGGAAATATAATTCCTCTCCACACTTGTCTTTTGTGACCACTTGTGATCAGATAACACTTCCCTGTAATGTATGCAAATAACCACACACATCAATACTGAAGCTTATTTTGATATTCAAATCCTAATCGACATTCGGATGCTGTGCAACTTTTCTTTTTTTTGCATGTCTATCCATTCTGTTACAACCATGTGTTTTCTGAACAGTAACAGATAAAGATGAAACTACCCTTATAATATTAGTATTGATACTATTTGTCGAGTTGATTCCAGTGGTGGCCACAGAGGATTGCCTTAAACTCCTGTGATCAAAACGTTTCATTTGCGCCAGAAAAACAATTCCAAAGAATCTGGCCATATGCGTCACCATATCTAAATGTTTCCTCCCTGCATCTTGGGTACTTTCAAACCTTTGTTACCTTTTCATCTCAAAAGGACTCAGGTGCTCTAATTTAACATGCAGTTGATATGGCCTCTTATGTATTTAGTGTACTGAAAAGCTTTTTCTAAGTTCTTATCCAATCATGCATTATGATCTACTGTATAGTCGTGAACACCAACCAAGACTACAGTAAGCCTCATAGAAGTCAAAGTGGACTTAGCAGATAAGGAAGCAGATACAATAGAAATGCCGTTATCATGTAAGTGTTTGGAGGGTTCGAAGCTTTCCTTAAACAAATGTAAGCTCAGTGGAACTGATAGTGGCACAACTTGAAGCCTGAATGGCCCAAACAAGGGTCATTCCAGCAGCTGGGACTCAAGTCCGTGTTGTCTGGGATTAATCAAGATAAGCACCACTTTAAGGGACTGACTGATTAACTGAAGCTGTGATGAGCATATTCATGAAAAACCCTTATTACAGCTGCAGCTGTGAGCATGAGCCCATCTTCAGTCAAACTGGACTCTGGGAAATGAAACTGTAACTTATTCTGCTGCAGAAGAGAGAAGCATATACTGTATGTAGATGTTTAGCTTCAACAATTGAAGGCAGCTCTAATGCATACGAGTGTCTCCATAGCTGTCTGCTTATAGATTTGGTAATAGTAACAATTGTGACATACTGTAAACCAGGGGTAGCCAACACGGTGCGGGCACTTAGTCGCAGTAAAAAAATAAACTGTTTAAAGGTCCCATGTCATGACCATTTCTACTGATCATAATTCCATTGTTGAGGTCTACTAGAATAGATTTACATTGTTCAATGTTCCAAAATCTCATTGGTTTCTCATACAGCATCTCTTTATAGTATGTGTATTCACTCTCTGTCCTAAACGGCTTGTTGGAGCTCCTGCCCCCCCCTCCCTATGAGCCCAGTGGCCGTCTGCGAGACAGCGAGACGCAGCCCGAACACACACACACACACACCCGCAGCCTGGCTGGGAGTTTGTGTGTGTGCTCACACACCGACTCACAGCCTCGCCGAGTCCCGCCGTCTCAGGGAGGAGAAATCGGCAGAGCTGCAGCTAAGAAAAGATTGAGTTTGTGTGAGGAAGGTAACGTAACGGCTCCACGGATTGGTCCATTTTGACCAATCCACGGAGGGGTCGTCGTCACGTCACTTGGTTCCCGGAAGAAAAACACTTAAAAAGAAAATCTCCAACGAGGTGTTCTGGGGCAGCATAGACATGTATTTTCTGTGTTAGAGTTTTACTCGCTACAGGGTGTACTTTGAGGGTTTGTGATGCTGGAGATCGTTTATATGCATAAAAAGTTTAACATGCAGAAAAAACCTTTCATCAACACACAAGGGGACGGTAATATACCGAAAAGCATGACATGGGATTCCATTTTAAAATGCTGCTCGTAACAAAAAAACAATTCCTAATTTAGTATATAATAACATATACTCTTATCACCCAGCACCCTCAGAGCAACAACCACAAACCTTCGTCGTCAGAGTCCCCGTCATCACAAGTCTACACGTCTCCCCACAACCGAGCTCCAGCCCCAGTCCCCACCTACCCTCCGGGGCTTCTCCCCCCCCCTCTCCACCCCAGTGCGGCAATTCACGCCAGCATAAACAGCAAATAGCCCCAACGCACTCCACAGTTGGGCGCGCAGAGCGTGAGTGCACTTGAGAGGATCTAACCACTAACCTGAGTATCATCACAGCATCGGCGAGACATGTACCTCACCGCTGGATGAGTCAAAACCCTCTGTTTGGTGCTTCTAAATAACGGGGCAGATATCAACCAATCTCCTGCAGTCCGCTGAGAAAATAATGTTTGGGATGCCATTAACAGCTCTTTTGATTATGAAGAAAATAGTCTAACAGGTGGTCTCTTTTTTGACTGTTTAAGATAGGGCTGGGCAGGAGACAAACTCATATCATGGTATATTTCAATTATCACGGTATATCACGCTAATTATTATATTTTTCCCGATGAATTGGAAGAATGTATTTACAATTATTATCATTTTCACCCTCACAAAAAAACACCTGACAGTGGGGGCCCTCATGAGTCTTATGAGGTGAAGGAACAGAATGCATGAAACAACGTGCTAAATTTAACCATTTCATACTGCAGTGTTTCCCTAGGATGGAGTCATAAAGCAGCGGTGCCTAAGGCAACGCGGCCCAGCAAAATGTGAGCGCGGCGCCGCGTGACCATTTCTAAGTGTGCTGCCCTGCTAAGTC